ATTGTGCGAGTTGATATGTTGCTTCTGAGGCTTTTAAAGCCTGACCTATTTATAAGAATGGTCTGAATTTTTCTCTACCTTATTTAAGTCCTTTATCTTCTGTTTGGCAGGAGAAACCTTCCTGCCGTCTTGAAGATGTGAAAAATCGTCGGTAGGTAGTTGTTCATTTCCAAAATTGCTTGAGATGAGTTGTAATTACATTTTTGTTAGTGAAGAAGGCATTCATTGTAAGTAATGGAAACAACCATAGAAAACGTTTCTTACTCATTGACTAGGGATTATTGTCCAAACCCGGACCTCTCGCTCCGGAGTCGAGCGCACTAACCATGACACCACCGTGCCTCCCAGCGTCATACCATCTTAAGTAATGTATTAATTTTCGTTACGATAATAAATTAACCCAGTGTAAATGCCCCCGACTGAAAAGCCCACCTTTTCGTTCTTAGGTGCTTTTCCCGCGTTTATCTTGGCATAAAATAAATATATTATGAAACAACGGCAGTTCATAGCAGTACACGTTCATTTCATCATAAGTGAAAGGGGTAATAAGTAAATGACGCGTAAAGATTCTCAGTAATGGTTCTCAGTCTTCTTTATAATACACTCTTCTATGAAAAGTATCATTGATCAATAGGTCCTCTGGGCAAACCCAAAACGTTCCACAGCCTGAAAGTCAGCAGTCCAGTCCAATGTTTTCTTCATTTCAGTTTCCTCGTTATAAAGTTGTGCATGATTAATCAAACAAGTGGTTTGTTTTCAAGTTACAAAATCCATACCCGATTTTTTGATAACTTCTACCATTTACAGTGAAGTTGACTATATCATTCCATTCATGATGTACACTACACCAAGCCGCAGCATGGATATAACCCGTTCTCCTCAAGAAAAATCTGAGAGGGGCGTCTGTGTGTTAGGGTTCAATACTCGTGTACTGCATAAATTATGTTGATTACTTCTGGCCTTTAAACTTCAAAATTCTAAACCACGAAATGTAACAAATTTCCATTGTGGTTTCTACAGCCAACTTTTGAGATATCTGTGAGCGTGACCTATAAAACACGAAGCACCTTGTTTTCGATTTACAACCGTTATACCTCATCAAACCTCAAACAATCGATGAACCAATCACGTCGATTTCCACAAATGCTAGGGAAAAATCACTCGGCCTTGGAAACGATTATCAGCAGGAGCCCTTTTATCAATCATGGCTCTTGGGTAACCCTCACGCGCCCTCCATCCAACTTTTCCTGAGTAAGACCGGTTGGCTGTAAATAGGCTACATAGTGCAAATTAGAACTTAATATAAGATGCAATGAAGAAGAGAAGACTAAGAGAGAACTTGCGTTTGTCAGGTTTTTCCTGCTTTACAAAAGTTAATACAAACAGGCACTAACAACTTTACGCTAGAGGTGTTCGGTAATGCAAGTGGCTTCAGGCTATGTTTGAAGTGTTTCCATGTAACAAAAGCGATAAGCTGGATTGGATGTTAAGAATGCATAGAAATTAGCATTTAACTGAAGAGCTCATTGTTATTACTTAAACAAGCCGCAAACATCACGCTACTTCCATCCAAACAAGGTTAGCGTCAACACTAAGTCAACTTGAGGTATTTCTAATCCTAATGATGTCTACCCCAAGCGTTAATGTCGCACTGAAAATATTCCCAACCGATGTAGCAGTCGAACTGAAAATGTACGCTGAAAAGCATAGCTTATACTGCGCGAAAATGCGCCAGTGGAAACAGATTAAAGACGCAGATGCCGACCGGAGTGAAGCACG